ATAATCCATTAATTTCTTAATTTTTTAAATAATCGTATTTTTAAATTTTAAATTTTAACCATTATTTTAAATGGCTTTTAAAATTTTATAAATTTTATGTACTAAGTAAATTATAATTATTGTCTCCAACGCTGCAACGATACAATTTTCATTTTTTGGAAATTTATTATTAAGATATGGGATGTAAAAGCCTGAAATAAAGACTATTTATTTATTATTATTATTATTTACTCGATAGCGAACAAGCGACAGGACAGCCCGCTAGACAATTACGCGATCGTTTCAGTGTAAAATAGGGAAAGACGAGACAATTTCGGAAATAAAACATACGTAAGGAGTCTGATATTAATGGAATTCTGGAAACGCCAATGAAAGTAGAAAACCTAGTTGTTGGAGAGTATGATTTTATTATAAATTTAAAATCTTTATTACCGATGGCCGATGTGACAGTAAGGTTGTTTAAGTGGAGGGCTCGTACCGGAAAGCGCATCGTAGCACGCATAAAGGTAGCAGAAAGGCGCTAGATGCAGGCCGCTACCAACCGGTCATTATGAATATCATTGAGGGAGGCCTATGTTCAGCAGTGTACGTCCTGTGGCTGAAATGATGATGATAATGATGGAAATCTTTATGAAACAACTAGCGGCCGCCCGCGACTTCATACCTACGCGTGGATCCCGTTTTACCTCCTTAGGGGTGGAGTTTCGTAAAATCCTTTCTTAGCGGATGCCTACGTCATAACATCTACCTGCATGCCAAACAGCCCGATCCGTCCAGTGGTTTGGGCTGTGCGTTGATAGATCACTACGTCAGTCAGTCAGTCAGTCACCTTAGAGTTTTATTATAGATTCTGGAAGAAAACCTAGTCGTCGGACATTAAAACGTCGAGTTGTCGAGAGACGCTACTTGCAGGTGCCTGCCTGATTAATGGCCACAACTCGAGGGACAGACGACCGCACTTCAAACTAAACACTGGCATCTTATTCACTTGTAATAGTGGCTATTTTGCTACTAAAATGTTAGTGATGTTTGACTGTACAAAGCTTTCTTGCCTCTAGTTTTGGTTCTAGCCTTGAAATTGGGACACTAAGCGGGGCAGCTTGGTTTTGCTAGAAAATTTATAGATTTTGAAGGCGAGAGCTATCACTAAGAAGGTCATCGTTAAAAGATTATTTGCTAGGAACAGGGATATTTTCATTGTTTAATACTTCATAAAATACCTGTGAAATTCGAACAATGTTGGTAATTTCATATTCATATTCATTTTATTGCCGTTTGAGGCTTAAAGAATAAACTGAGAACTAGGTATACAGAAAATACTCAAAGTGTTACTTGCCAAATGACGTCCACTGCTGGACAAGGGCCTCAGTATTTCCACAACAACCGTTCCTGCTGACATTCTTACATGAATAGGTACTTAATTGACCCAAAAAGGATTTAGCGATTGTTTAATCAATAACAAACAGAGTCTTGACGAAGACATGACACGCCCTGCTCATTTTCCAGGCGAATTTAATCATAGCAGTAATACAAATCGATGTTGAAACTCCATGATTCCAGAATTCATACTCGATTTAACCGTGATTGTTCATCGTTTAGACATTCGTGAACTCCGTGTTTTGGCTGAATTTTGACGTGAATCCGCGGAGATTACAAACAACTCTTTCGTAGTGGAAATAGATAGAGAAGACTCTCTTCGATGTGAGATGAAAGCATGTAAGTACCTACTTAAACCTTTTTGTCAGCCGATAGTTGGGTCGGTTTTGAATGTGTATGAAGAATCGGCCGATAAAAATCGGTGAAATATGCGCTTCCATACATGTTCATACTGACAACTGATCAACAGTCCGTACGCCCGTATTCACAAACATTACTATGAGGTGTCAAAGTGCGCGTGGACGCACAGGGTGACACACGAACCAATCACAGAGCTCTATTCAACGCTGTGCGTTTGATTTGCTGCTTCACTTAAGCATCGTCTGTGAATACGGGCGTCAAAGTCTGTGGTTTGCGGCTCGGCTTAGTTCTTCGATTTAAAATGTGTTAGATAACTCAAGAAACGCAATTAAACCGCGAAAGACGAGAAAGCTATGATAGGTAATTCCAACAAATTAAGTATAACCAAGCAAAATTCCGTAACAACATTTACCACCCACATTGATAACATAGTAAGCAATCTAAAATCTTTTAACAATTAAAATTCCAAATCACGTAAGTAGGCGAGAGCAACGCCTAAACCGATAGCTCACTCTGAATGTCAAAATGGCCAAATAAAAAAATAGGTACTAAGTGAAAAATCGAGTCGTGTGAAAATAAACAAAAGAATATCGAACTTAGTCGTCTAGAAGAAAAAGAAGTTTATCGGTGGCCAGTGTCACTAAGGAGGGCTGTTGCGGCCGCCATTGTAAACGAACGATACTGTAACTACCTTCACTTTGGCAATTACAGTACAGACTGTACTGTAATAATAACCCGGGCGGTAATTCCCCAGGCTGCGTGGAACATGCTGGGAACGGTTGGAACTTGGAATTCCAACAAACGATGCACTTTCTGGAATTAGGACTGTATTCAGGGTGCGCGTTTGTAATTAGCCCACTCCTGTCCGATCTTTGTGTATCTGACAATACTAGTAACTACGTAGTTAAATAAATACAGGGTTAGTATCGAAAAGCTTTTAAAAGATCTAGTTACTCATTATTTTACTTATAAATAGGTATAGCATAAAATTGTTAATTGAAATTTCAGAATTGTAGCTTTTTACTACATCGCATCGTAACTCCAAAACGAATAGCTTTTAATTTGTATAATAGCAGTTTCCAATTACAATCGGGATTATTTGTAGGTAATTATAATCTTAAGCCAAACACTTTAAAATTGTCAGTGACGATTCCAAACTAAATATACACACGACGTAATAAACGTTTCATACATATTTTAAGCCCGTTAATCATAAATTGCACTGTACCACTAGTCAAATTAGTAAATTGTTGTCTAGTTTGCTTAATTTGCGAACCTCGCTACCTAAACTTCCCCGCAAACTACGTATTATTCTATCATAAGCTTCCCGGCCGTTCTGTTCTGGCGGGAGTTAGTCCATTCCATATTACTGGGAATACACAGTATTAATATACTTAGGTCTTACCTAGGTACAAACTTGCTAAAGTACAGCAAGCTTTAAGAGTAGATGATTTTTAGGTTCAAAGTTTGCTTTGCAGCGTATATTTGTTTACATTTTATTGGATGAAGAAGAGCGTTGTTCAAATATGGAATTGTGTCAAACAAAGGGAAAATTACTTACATTTTTGCTGCAAAAATAGCACTTTATAAGGTGCACTTGATAAGCCATTGTTCGTAAGTCACATTTAAATTATAAATTATCTCACTATATAAATAAAAACACAAACACTGACATTGCTTTTTTGAAAGCTTTGTAAGTTTTCTTTCACCGACTGAAACTCACGCGTCACTGCATCTTCGGATTTTTTTTTAAATTTGGTTTTGTGCAGTTGGCATATTGCCAATTTAAATAAATTAATATTATTTTAAAATTCGAACAATAACCTGGGTCTAAAGAATAAAATAATTATGGAATTTTATTAGAATGGTGGATTGCCTGTTCTTCTTTTGTCTTAAAATTCAATAAATATTGGTTTTACCATTTATACTACCATTTAAACTTCACGCGGGCTTCAAGAACTTGTAGTAATGTTGTACTATTTTATTGCATTTACCTACACTAATAATTGTGCACGTTTAATAACATAATAGTTAATTTTTAATACATTTTATCATTACACATTTTAATATTAATCTACTATATAAAAATAAGTCGGGTTTTCCTCCCTGACGCTATAACTCCAGAACGCACGAACCGATTTCCACGGTTTTGCATTCGTTGGAAAGGTCTCGGGCTCCGTGAGGTTTATAGCAAAGAAAATTCGGGAAAAGGGGGTAAAACGGGATCCACGCGTACGAAGTCGCGGGCGGCCGCTAGTATTCATTAAAAATATGAACTGACTTAATATTTAAAACAAATAAAATCTTAATTAACTAATAAAACAACATTTATTCAAAATAAATGCGTGTTTGCAAAGAGGCGAGGATGCTGGCTGCATTTCTTCGCTATATCGCTGCTGCATTAATATTTTCTAAGAATTTCATTTATTTGATTTTTGTTTAATTCAATTAAATTAAGGCTGAGTTACACCATCTTACTTTAACTTTGACAAACGTCAAAAATTGACAATACAAAAAACACCGGTTATCGTCATAGTTTAGTTACGGGCAAATTCAGGTGGTGCAACTCAGCTTAAAAAACTACCAATGATGACGAGTCAACAACCCATCTAGAAGAGACCCATAGAGAAGATCTAGCCAGTACTTTCTTCTTCTTTTTTTGAATGGCAACGACTAGGGTTTTGAAAAACATGGCTGCTGGCGTATTCTTTTTTTAAACGTCATTCGAGGCAAAGGCAACATTTATAGATCCTGTTGTCAACGAACCTGCATTCTACCGGTCAAGCACAAGGCCGGCAAAACAAGCCGTAGCTGTTATCAAGAGGTGATAAGGTCGAAGATTGCGTGCACATTTTCGTCGATTATAGTTGAGATCGACAGAAGTCAAGTTGTGGAAACCGGTATTCTAGAGACAGGAAAACGTTTTTCGGTATCGATATTTTTAAAAAGTGTATGACAATACCTATGTATGGAAAAATCATAATTTCTATAGTCACGGATATGAAAATCCATAATCATGCTGCTGTTTGGAATCGATACTAGGTACCTAAACATTTAAAATAGGTCTTAAAAGTATGCACTGTAACCTGTTATCCTCAATTATTACGAATAATAATATGTAACGATCACTCAATAAGTAGATCTGTCATTAGAAAGTTAATTAATGATCTTACCCAATCTTTACATTTGAAATACAAAATTAAAACTAGTAAATCGATTAAAATACTATCGAGTGTTCGTGATACTCTACACGTAATAAAATTATTGGCTCGTTCTTAACAGTCGCGAATCATCTTTACTGTAGGGTAGATGCTTGTATAGCTACCTGATTAAAAAGTAATTATTAATAATAGTTATTAACAATATTCCAAGTGTTGTGCCAGAGACTTAACGTGTCCCACAGTGATATTTATTATTTGTGAAAAGTGACTTGGAAAACCAGAAGCTGGAAACTTTATTAGTGTATTTTATTATTAGCAATTAATTTTGCTGCACAATATTATTTAGGTTTGTATATTTTATAATAATTATATAATAACTTATGTGTGTTATTTTATACAAGCACCGAACTAGACACTTAAATTTAAAAAAAAATATAATTAAAACACAAAGGAATCGACCAAATACATATTTTATAGTTATACTCATAGATTTATATAGGTACAGTCAACTGCATATCAGCTTACCATAAACCAAACCACGAAAAACTTTCATCTAGTTTCTCGAAAAAAGTTAGTTGTGCATTTTTTCATGAAAATTAATAAACCGATTTCTGTTATTCCTTGTTATTGCTAGTAGAAGGGTAATCGTTCGTTTCAGCCGAATGACGTCCACTGCTGGACAAAGGCCTCCGCCAAGGATTTCCACAAAAGCAGATTACAAGACAGTAGAAGGTTCATAAGTAAGAAAATTTAAGAAAGTCACTCGTAAAATTAATCTTATTAACTTTTCTTAAGACAGGACAATGGCTGTATGGCTCGGGACAGCTAGTTTTCAATAAATAACACCTAATAGAGTTTCTACTTACTTACCTCATCCATTTTGAGGAAGGAAACAAAATATGCAAATAATAGGTAAATCCATCGTCATGCATTAAGTTATATGGCGTCTTATCTTGAAAATAATATGTAGTTTATAATAAACTCTACAATTTGAACTTACTTAAGTAATGTCTACCAAAGGGACACAAAAAAATGTGTTCTTTTAATAGCAATTTAAAAAATCTCAGACAATTTAATAACAACCAATTAAACAAACGCAAAGCATCCAAACAAGACACTAATAATTCACATTTGAGGAAAACATACTTTGAAATCTTAAAACTTGTTTGGACTGTTTTCGAAGCTTTGTTCGTCTTTAAAATTATTCTAATTTAATATGTAATAAGTACACACATACAGACAACAGATACACATATAGGTTTAGCGTTAAACCACAGAATAATAACACATATATATACTGTGATAATAATAAGTACTACCACAGAATACATAATAGTAGCAACAGAAATTGCACTCCTTTGTGTAGGATCAGATGCCGACATTTTAACGGTAATAATAATAATGCAAAATATCCAATGCACATGGTGCATTCGAAATCGCACCTTACTACTACGCTCACAAGAGCGCATTTTTTTTGTGTTTAGAATTGATCTACGTCACCGCTCAAGCGTCAGGGTTGTATGAGCAAAGTAAAATAAATAAAAACTTAATTTTAAGAAGCATTTATTGTATTTACGATTAGAAAACTTTAATCTAGTGGAGTTTGTATAATCGTACCATCTCTAAAGTACCTATTAATAAACTTCAGTGTTGCGATAATTCGAAATTAAACAAACAGTTTTAAAAGGTGTAGTGTCGGAAAATAGACACGGTGAAGTAAAGTTAATGTTTTTATTAGCTAAAATAATTTTTTTGCTATAGTTTTTTGTCATAAGTATTTCAAAACAACTTATTATTTAAAAAGTGTAGTTTTTTTTTATTATTTAAATCACTACAGTTAATTATTATTCCTAAATATTACAAGTTTTCATTAAAGAAGAATAACAGTGCTGTTGGAACAATAAAGCTTGATTGCGACGATGATCGACCGAGCGTGTATAGAAATACGCGTGTGCAAACAGGCGCGTGGCGGCCCGGACTGATTTGCAACTTGAAGTTGTCGCGCGCTGTAGGTAATTATCTCGGCCGGCATAGGCGAGTGACGGAGGCCTGGTACTACGTACAGAAGTTTTACTTCGCGAATGTATTTAAAAAAAATGTATGCTCAATGTCATTAACCATATGGTGTAATTTAGCCTGTCTCAAAAGTCAAGCACCATTTTGTTGATAAACGTCAGTGATCGGCACTGCGCCGAAGCTATAGGGGCTGACTTCGGTAAAATGATGTGACGTGAGGTGCCAAACTACGGAAAATGGCGGAGGAAATACATGATTTAGCATGAATTAACATGAATAATATTAACTACTTATTTACCTCCCAGTATCTTGAGGCAACTTAAAAAAGTACATTCTGTGTTTTTATTATTATTTAGGCAGTTAAATACTGCACAGTATTTAGTACACCATTTTCTTTATTTTCTTCCATCATACACAAGAATACGCGTGCGTGAGTCAATGTTCGCTCGTATGTGAGGCCTTGTCGAATAGTATCCTGTAGGGAGCCATCGTGCGTGTTTTGTTTTCGATGTAAACTCGCGGAGATGAACAGGCCTGGTTAAACTCAGTCAGTGTCTGAGGTATGGGAATGGCACGGGGAGGGTGTTTCAGTAACCTCAAACGTCAGTAAAACTTCAGATGTGCTTCAAGATTTGTTTGCTCTATTTTCAAATACGCACCATTGAAGCCATTAAATAGAATAATAATAATAATAGTATGTTCTGTCACGTCATAATATGTCAATGTCATGTCCTGTGCCGTTTCCATACCTCAGGCGCTGACTGAGTTATGCGCTACATAAAAACACACCTCACACCATGATTTTTTGGACCGTATCACGCAAACATTTTCGGAATACATTGAGGAAATCCGTAGTAGTTTGATGTACCGGTAATCGTACTTTCCGTGTCTATATCTTAATTTTATTCAAATTATGTAGCCAGATTGTGAACTATGAATAATTTGGAATAACTTGATGCTAAGCTAGATGACAAAATTTCAATTATTTGTCCGTCAGACAGATAATTACTCATATTTTTTATTTTCTTTCATAATTAAATAATAACAGTGCTACATCGAGTTGAAATGGTGCGATACGTGACGCTTGAGTAGAATTACTCAAAAGTGACGTCACGCGACATTTCAACTCAATATAATACTGTAATAATTCGATTATGGAAAAAAATAAAGAATATGAGTCTAATATTTTCTAATTATCTGTCTGACGGGCTAAATAATTGATTTCATTACCCAGACATCATCCCTATTATATCTACTCGAAATAATACTACTAAGTATGACAAGTAGGTCTCTTTAGTAATTGTGTAGGTTTTAGAATCAAGAAACTTTTGATTTATAAAAAATAGTTACACCTAGATATTACCTGTATTATTTAAATATTTCCCTGACACCCAAAGGAGAGCTATGTTTATCTTCATACGCTAAACTATTTTTATTTTATAATTTTCGTTTTTCATCTACAAAGTTGTAGACTTTAATACCAATATAACTTCGTTCTAGCATCGTTCTTTTGCCCTATGAAGGTGTCTTTTATTTAAACTTTTTGCTCCTACTCCTATAAATAGGAAATACCTACGTGTTTTACTAAATTGCTACTCAATTATCAAGTACCAAGCGTCGCACATGCGACCAGTTGCGGTCATACATTTATTATAATTTGATATGTTTGATCAATATGTAGTTACTTATAAGGAAAATGTGTGATGTTTAACACTGCAGTACACGCGCCCCTTTTTTAACACGAATACACGCGCGGCCTACTCTGGTAAGCCAATTTAAAATCACTGTAAATCAGTTTGTAAGCATTTTATGAATAGAATAATTATGTAAATGATAAAAGTGTTTATTATACTTATTTTATTATCAAAATTTCTTTTTATAACTATTTGGGATCAAACATTATAAACAGATTTAAAAGTTGTAAATTTTTTGGACCAAAATTGCACTCTGAGACCAATGTTAACAAAAAACTATTTACTGAAAAAATATGATTAGTTTTTTATCTGTCATAGTATTCATGACTCTCTACGGCCTGGTACACGGTGTAAATCCATTTGTTGCAAGTGTTTCATAATTTTTTTGTCGAGTGATTTCGGGCTTTTGAGTAGACCCGCAGTTTTGACGGCCAATTTTAGAAAAGTGCGCAGACTCTAGCGACCCAAGCTTTACTGGCTTACTGACAAATTTAGTAAACGAGGCTTTCCTAGAATGCCAGCTCTTTGGCGCAAGTTTTCAAAAAGTTATAGCGTAAAATGTTACCCTGGTCTACTATAGTAGTCCGCGCGTGTACTCTAGTGTTAATAAAATACCACATTCTTTTATAGAACTACCTATTCATAAATTCAAAGTACAAGTTAAGAAAATCGTTATGAAAAAAGGATACTATAAAGTAAACGATTATTTAAATGACAAGGGTGCGTTTTACCTGCCTAGCTCGCACTTATTGCGTGTCATGTAAGCTATAAATTACTGTATTTTATTGAAAAAGAAGCTGATAAAGGTGACAGTATATTCCGCATCTTCTTCTCAGCACCCACCAGCCCATATGTCCCGAAGTGGTGTTAGGACAAGCTATATTTGGAACGTGATTATGTGCCCTGGAAATGGCCTATGTACTGAATAAGCTATTTGAATTTGAATTTGTGCGTCATATGTGCATCTAATAACTATACAGGGTGTTTGGCGGAAGGTTAGACAAAGTTCGTGGGTGTATAGGTAAGGTCATTCTAAGAAAACTGGTTCGCCCGTTTGACCCAAGTGAGCTACTTTTTTTTTAATTGATTTTTTTGTCTTTATTTAATTTTTTCCGAAATTTGACATGAAAACTGCTTCAATTTTTTTTCTCGCGTGTTTTCAACCGATTTTTTTATTTGATGTTAAGGTCAAATGGAAGAACTTTTGTATTCTTAAAATGACCTTACCTATACACCCACGAAGTTTGTCTAACCTTCCGCCAAACACCCTATATAATATGGCATACAAGTCGTAATGATAAGCAAGGATTTAACCATTGAAGTTACAGCCCTGTCTTTTTGCTTACTCTACTTTGTATGCAATTTGCAGCATCTAAGCCTGGATAGAAAACATCCGAATTAAGCATGAATTTCTATATAAATCACTACAATTGACAAATAACCTTAGATTAATAAAACCTAGATAGATAGTCAGTACACGAAAGGTGAGGCAGATTTTAGTAAGCCAGAATGGCTTACTCGTAAACGTCACATGAACTGTCAAAGTGAAAAATTGGTAAACACGTCCGACGACTTTTAATTAATTAAGACGGTTTGTGCTGTGAAAGGGTATCTAAATACATCAGAAAAACTAAAGAAAGTGACCACTGTTACATTTCATAAGTAAGTACTACGATTCGACGCGTATTTTGCTTGAATTTGGCTTTCAAAAATTAAATACGGGAATGATACCAGTAACAAGAAAATTTATTTCCCAATTGTTCGCCGTACAAATACACTTCCTTTTTTATGAAATCGAGACTTTTCAGTCGATTTATCTTATTGTAATTATGTAGGTACTTTGAATTCAATAAATAAGTAAGTACATGATGGGTTTTGTTTTTGTTAGTTATAAAATAATTAAAAACGTATTAAAAATTTCCCTACTTTCGGGAAAATCGCCTTCACTGTCTACACTCCCCAACAAAATTGACACTAATGACATAAGATTTTTGCCTCACTCTTGACGAAGCGTTTGTATGAAGACTATCCATCTAGGTTTTATTAATCTAAGCAAATAACTCATTTGAACACTCAGCTTAGTAGTCCCTCGTACTAAGCTAAATAATTCTTGTGTTAACGAGTGGCATAGTCATATTATTTACTCTCCTCTAAAGCATTAATACTATTGCCCATTTTCGAAATTGCATCGGTTATTAAATTTTTAGCGTTTAGAGTCGCATCTCAAACTAATTTGAAAATTATAAATAACTTGAAAAAATCGAACTGCCTAAGGAGTTCGATTTTTTCAAGTTATTTATAATTTTCAAATTGCATCGGTTGTCAATAAGAATAAGTACGAGTATTATTGTTTGCGATTCCCGCCAAAACTTGACGTTCTTTTTTTTAATTTCCAGAGCATCATCGTACAAGGAAACAACGCAAGATGCCTCGGGGGCAACTGGTTCTACCCGCCTGCATGTTTGGCGCCTTTGTGATTTGGGCGACGGGGTCGACTGGTCAGTTTTGGATTTTATTGCATTCTCTGACGTATGCATGCTTAGCAAAATAGACGAATTTGTAGCATGTAATACGAGTAGATAACAAAATGGTACGACAAATAATTTACCTTTCGCAAAATAACAATGATAATGCAATAAAGTAGGTACTCCAATCGCAATATGAGGTATTTATTTAGAATCTGATTCATCTGTAATTCCGATCATCTGTATACATATCAAAATTTTCCTCGTACGGGGTAAAGTTATATTTGAAGTATTGGGGCACGTGTAAGTGCCATTAAAACAGAAAATAACTTAATATTATGATGTTTAAAAGTCACAAACTTTTGCACACATTTTGTAACAACTTATCGTAGGGACCTGAAATCACGAATGCCTTTAAGAGGCATTCGAGAGCTCAATCAAGAGCCGTACCTATACAAGATATCACAAAATGACATCAAAATAAAAGAAAGTGTCAAATAGATACGGAAAGCAAGGAGACGGAGAAGACAGCTTTTAAAATAAAAGGCGGGTTGTTTTTTTTTTTAATTTCAGGCCAGTTTATCCCAAACCTGAACAACGCGTGTTACGCCTGCCTGTGCCATGTCGCGACAATGTGCGACATGTCGAACGGATGCGTCGGCGGCTACTGCGGCCCTTACAACATCTCCAGGGTGTACTGGGTGGACGCTGGCATGGTGGTGCTGCCTGATGACGTCCCTGAAAGAAACCACGGTGAATTTAGCTGCTACTTACTATCAGATACTAATATTATAAGAAGGCTCAAGGTCACCCAAAGGGCGATGGAGCGGGCTATGCTCGGAGTTTCCCTGCGTGATCGAATCAGAAATGAGGAGATCCGTAGGAGAACCAAAGTAACCGACATAGCTCGCAGAATTGCTAAAACCACCTGGGCGGGGCACATAGCTTGTAGAGACGATGGCCGTTGGGGCAGGAAAGTTCTCGAGTGGCGACCACGGGCTGGAAGACATAGCGTGGGCAGGCCTCCTACTAGGTGGACCGACGATCTGGTAGAGGTCGCGGGAAGAGCCTGGATGCGGACAGCGCAGGACCGTTCATTATGGAAAACCTTGGGGGAGGCCTTTGTCCAGCAGTGGACGTCATTTGGCTGAAACGAACGAACTAATATTATAAAGTTTCCATTAAGGCGGAGTGGAGCACAGAAGTGATTTGAATTAACAATCAGATTTAATTATCTCGACTTCTCTTCTCCGCTCCGCACAGCCCCGAGCCGCGGCGCGCCTCTGGCCACTGTCAAATTGACACTTTTTTTTAATCCACAACGAAGAAGCTCATAGCCTGTATCTCACCTGATGGTAAGTGATGATCAAGCCGTAGATGGAAGCGAGCTTCACCCGGAATCCTCAACCACGGAAGAACTGGCTATCTTGCCTCTAACTGCCGGAACACAACAATGCTGTTAACATTGTTGTTATGGCGACAGACTCTGGTAAGATGGTGGTAGCTAGCCAGGCGGACTTAGAACAAGTCCTACCACCAACCAAACCGAACAGAAAAATCTACCCCCACTGGGAATCGAACCCAGGACCTCTGCGTCTGAAGCAGGTGGTCTTACCACTAAACCACAGAAGCTGCGGCTTGGTGGAAACCGAGCCTTGGGCTTTACATATAACATCACCCAAAAATGTTGCAAAGCTTGGAAATATTATTCAAACTATTTTCAGGCGTACCAAGTCGCGTGCACAGCTAGTAATAAATATGTCCCTAAGAGGAACCCCTACAACCGTGAATGTATTTATTTTGCTTACTAAAATAGCACGTCGCTATGGCGTGCCCTGTGTATTACGGTGTCGCACTTTGAGACTTAATTTTTTATTGCTTAACAAATAACCTACTTAGGCTGAGTTGCACCAACTAACTTTAACAGTAACTGTAAGGATAACCAGTGATTTTGACAGATTTTTGCGTTGGTTAAAGTTAAAGTGAGGTGGTGCAACCCAGCTTTGTATCTTTTAGAAAGACAACTAAGATACTAAACTCAGCTTAATAAAGATATTGACCTCATTGTAATGTCAATGTTAAAAAATTCCATTAAAAATCGTGAATTTTTAGTAACTAATTAAAACTTTATTTTCAGCTTGGTCAGACTGCGCTCGGAGTTTTTCGTGTGCTAAGAGGATCATAGCAGGTTACCTCGTAAAATTTGGGAAAGTATGTACCTTGTTTTTAGATCTACCTATTCAACATACAACAAATTTAAGAGTATTTCGAAACGAAGCTTTATCATGATGAAAATAACAGCTAGAGGCTTTTATAAAGCGCTTTTACACGTCCTACTCAGAATCTTTCTTACCCAATGACAAGTGTCAGTTTCTTCCGTCACTTTTTCTCAGCACCAGCACATAATATGTTGTCCCGAAGTGGTGGTAGGGCAAGCTATACTCGTATTTGGGTCGTGTATAAGCTCCCTGCAAACTGGAAAGGACCTCATCATTATTTTAGCCACAGGACGTCCATATGAACATATGCCTCCCCCAATGATTTCCACATCGCCCGGTGGGTAGCGGCCTGCATCCAGCGCCTTCCTGCTACCTTTATGGGGTCGTCGGTCCACCCTGTGAGACGTCCGTCTCACGCTGCGTTTTCTGGTAGGCCTCCACTCCAGAACCTTGCTGCCCCATCGGCCGTCAGTTCTGCGTACTATATGTGCCCTGCCTATTGCCACTTTAGCTTGCTAATCCGTCGTGGCCTCCCAGTATAGTCCTTATAAATAAGCTCAAAGTTGCATAGCGTGCCCCCCCAATCAGGGAACCCCTTTAGATTCTAAACAAACTTTATACCAACCGTATTATTCCAGGACTGCAACGGCGATGGGGTGACCAACTGCTTCGACTACATGATGGTGAACGGCAACGGCGGATACGGCTGCCACGCGCCTCTCAACCGCTCCGCCAACGGCCGCCGGTGGCTCCAGCGGTTCGACCAGTGCCGGCTCTAGAACGTTCTAGAACGAAACTACAACTTATAAGTCTACTTGATCAGCAGTCAGCACCTACGTGGTATACCACCTACCATTATCACCTTCGAAGCAAATAGTAAGGTCGTTTGTTGGACGCTACCTTGGAGTGGGTCGCCAAACTTCTGCTAGTTGTAAGCATAGGGTAGGACTACTTTTTCATGAAAACTCCTTTATGCTAGGATATGAACGAGTGAACATTTATATTGAGAATTCAATGTTGCCAGGTAAAATTTGTATTTCTATAAGCTGGACCATTTTGTGTATGTAATGTTACAGGCATAGCTGGGCATTAACTCGTTAATCCGTTAATCGTTAATTAACGAAGTTAACATTTCTATTAACGGATTAACTTTTAAGTTAACTTTAAAAAATGTTAACGGACTCATTAACTTCCGTTAAATTACCCTAAGTCCGTTAATCGTTAATCCAGTACCTACTATTTACCAAAAAGATACAGCAGGCACGCTGAAAAACACTAGAATAAAAATTAGCCAAGTGCGTGTCGTGCCACGCGCAGTGTAGGGTTCCGTAGTTGTCCGTCATTAACACAATATATTTCAGAAGCAAGCAATTACTTCATCTAAAGTCACTTTTAATATTTTCTTATAAGGAATTTTATAATACATGAGTTAAATGACTATTACTCACTGATGTATCTTAACCGCTACAGTTTTCCTTGAGAGTTCATGAAAAGCAGTATCGTTACGATTTTTTCTAGATATTTAAAGAAAACAGTTTAGTTTTTAGAGGATGGGGACGCCCTACTCGAACAAAAATTGTCACTTCAAACTTAAATATTTTGCAAACAGATCCCTTTAACGAAAAATGTTATGGTACGAAGTGGCCATAGGAATTCCTAAACGAAACGGTGGAAACTTATCAAGTTTGGGTTTGTTGGATTTGTCTTTTCGAGCACTTTGGTGCTAAATTGTATTGTAATTGAACCAAGGCTCTGAGATTGAGATACTATAGACTAAGAGCTGGTGAACGCCAGACCTACGTCATTTTATAAAAGCTGAAAGTTTGTCAGCGTATGCTCCCAATATAGGTTAGAATGTTGGTGGATTATGAAGTTTGGGTCATCGTTGCTTTGGCAGCTATCCTAAAAAAACTGTCTGGCAAGGAGTTGGAACTGTCAAAACTGTGTGGCTGATGTCGAAACAACTTCTAATCATTGCCCAAATATTATACATAAAAATCAGATTTTATGGTAAACGTAAGTAGAATTAGTCTATTGAATATACAGAAAAAGCCACCGTAAAAGTTAGGCTTACGTTATAGGTACCATAAAAGCTGATTTGCTTCCGAAATTATTTGAACCTTGCATACAATTACTTTTTTCGTTTTAAACATGTGTTAACGATTAACGTTAACTTGCGTTAAATCTTGCTAAATGTAACGTTTTAACGTTTAACGAAGCTAATTTTTTTATTAACGGTTTAACGATTAACGAAGTTAGCCATTTGATTAACGGTGCCCAGCTATGGTTACAGGACAATATTACAGAAAATGTCACACGATAATGTAAATTGGAGTTACGTAGAACCAATGTTTCTGCGAAATTTTGCTCAATTTCAAACAAATTTTGAAGCGTCGACCCATCGGAAAATACGCAAGTTTGTTAATTAATTCCTTAATTACTGCGTTGAATAATTATGGGACACACACAATTATATTTTATTCGGAGAAATATAATTTAATAAGAACGGAAATATTTTTTTTTCTTTCATTAACATAGTTCGAATGCAATACAGCAACAGCTCAATTTTGTTGCAAAATGATATCTACTTACAACTAGACAAGATGCCCTGGATGAACTGTTTAATAGATTAGTTTATATCAAGCTTGAAAAGTATCTTTTCGATAAGGATAACTATTTAACTTCGTATGTAATATCTTTAATATACTCTTAATTACTAATTCAATTTCGTAATGTGATCACGAATACTTTATAACTTTTGCAATTAACAGGCACGAGTCTACAAACGATGATTTGTTTTTAATTAACATCTTTCTTCTGGTAATTAAAATTTTTGTTGTAAATATTGTATTTTTATACATTTGCTCAATTTGAAGTGCAATTTTTTAGTTTTATTAGGTTAAGTTACTTGCACAAGTCAACCTTTCCAACGGTCAATACTGATGCCACACTGCAATGTCATGCTTCTTTTTTTGCATGATTTATCTAGTTATTTATGAAAGTACTTCATAGGTCGGTAAATAATACATTTTCAAAAACATTCGTTGTTTTATTTGAAACATGCAACTCAAATTCATAACCTTTTGGACGATGTGCTTAAATTCTACATGATTTAATAGGAAATTCTAGATTTAAGACCGGCAGCAAATCTGGCACTATGTAGCTCTAAAAGCGTAGCGAAGATGAAAATAACGATACGTTATACTGTATACTGAAGGTGATATTAACGATAAGTCATACTGTAATATTATGTTTCAAGTGGCTTATTTCCACTGATTTCCACTCATGCGATCCTCGTTTTAAAAGTGAAAACCCAAACGACCTAACGAGCCGGTCCGCTACGACGCCACAAGTGCTACGCCGTAGCACCGTAGCACTGTCCAACGAGGTCGAGACGAGACGGCTCCGCATGAATATTCAGACTTGCGAAAATATAATGAGCTGGCGCTCCGAGTGCATGGAAGATGTACCTACTGCGATTACAAGTCTTTAAACACATCCATCAAAAATTAGAGGTATTCCTCAAAGCGCACCTATTTTGAGGCGCACCTACTAAAGCGCACCTATGTTTACTATTACATAGATTTTGAACTTTATATTTACTAAGATGAATAAAAAGTACCAGGGCAACATAACATAGGAGCGCTTCGAGGAACAGTTTAGATGCGCTTTATAAGGTGCGCCTCAAAATGGGTGCGTTTCGAGGAATACCTCCAAAATTACAGTCGTAGTCGCGCGTAGCTACAATGCTACGCCGTAGCAGCTGTCCAACGAGGTCATACTTGCGAAAATATAATAAGTTGGCGCTACGGGTGCATGAAAGATGTCTACGAGTCAAGTTTTCATGATACAAAAATCTGTCAAACTCCATACAAAAAACACCGGTTATCGTTATAATGCGGTTAAAGTTAGGTGGTGCAACTCAGCCTCAATACAAAAATTACAGTCAATAATAATAGAACCGTAGTCGCGCGTAGCTACGACGCAAATGTATGCTACGGCGTAGCACCTGTCAAACGGAGAGAACGTTCTCGCTACTGATGCATGAATATTCAGCGCGACTTCTGAAAACCTAATGAACTACGCCGTAGACAGCAGTCTAAGGTTACAACTATTACAACTATGGAACTATCTGACGTGTAACGCACTACGAACTATTCTAAGTTTTAGGGTAAATCAACTGTTAAGTACCTGCATACTTATTATCTTGCGCGATCGATGAAGCTTTCGAGTGTGATATTTGTGACATCAGAAATATTTTTTTTATGCTAGACAAGGCAGGTAATTGACCGCAATCGCTCCTGGTGTTAAGTGAGATGCAGTCTAGGATGGTACATACAGGGTGGAAACGATAAGTGATCTCATTCGATTATTTCTAAACTATACAAGATATCGAAAAACTGGTTACTGATCCTGAAAGTGCTTCACGAGCTCTATCCAACGGTACCAATAATAGGTTACAGAATTAACTGGATCTATCCGAAAATTAAATGTTTTCAGCCTCCATACTAAATGTATGCCATTAGAAATATTTTTTTTTAAATTAAATAATAAACACTTAAAATGAACTCGTTAATTGCATTCTTATTTAAAATTATTCATGGAAAACATTGGTTTTAGGCTTTACTTGCTATAATATTATCAAGACATGAGTGCCATGACAGTGGCTATACTAAATGTATGGAAGCTGGAAACATTCAATTTTCGGGTGGATTCAGTTTTATTTTGTAACCTACTAATGGTATTGTTGGATAGAGCTCGTGAAGCACTTTCAGGATCAGTAACCAGTTTTTGAATATCTTGTATAGTTTTTAATATATGTGGTTTTATTAAATGTATGGAAGCTGGAAACATTGAATTTTCGGATAGATCCAGTTTATTATGTAACTTATGATTGGTACCGTTTGAAAGAGCTTGTGAAGCACTTTCAGAATCAGTAATCAGTGTTTCGATATCTTGTATAGTTTAGAAATAATCGAGTGAGATCACTTAACGTTTCCACCCTGTATATGCCCTGTAAGTGCCCATTCACTATTGATAGGTAGGTAGGTATGAATTAAAAGCCAAGCGAGCATATCAATCGATCGCCACTTTCGCCAGATGCACAAAAACTTTGTGAGCAGGGCACAATCTTTTCGATCCATTTTCCACATAACAGCCTGAAAGCACCTACTAGAAATGTAACGTATTTGCACCTCTGTATCTCCGAATAATGGTACACATTTGATAATAAATACCCTATCACGCCCCCCCAAGCACCGAATCCCGTAATCCATCAAGCCAGGAGCTGTATACATCAGAATAATGCCGTTAATTTCACACACGGTAATCCCGAGTGATGTGCCATGAAATAAACTGTCTTAAGGTGAGAAGGTAACGCATTGTGACGACAGAAACGGGCGGACCTGCCCTCCGAATAAAGTACGAAACACACTTAACAACCCGGAAACCGATCATAACCGTATCAATCACAAAGAAATAAGACACAGCAGCAGCTTGATGTAACTACTACTGCAATGTCGTTTGTACATTCGTACAGATTTAATTTGCAATCGTTTCATGGAGCGAAGTAATTATGTTTACAAAAAACCACAACGAAGCGATTTCAATTAAATACGTACAGTTCGATTTAAAATAGTTTCATAGGGGTTGATAAGATACAACTTCTCGGTTGCCTTTTGTGAATACGTTACATGGTGTATCTTAATTAAATTTGAATTACTGTAGGTACTTTATACCAAAAATGAATTTAAATTCATTTTCTAAAAATGTGTTGTTAATACTGATAGAAACTGTACCAGTCAACTGTGTTAGGAATTTCCATGTAGGTATTCAAGTTTTTTCAAGAGTCAAACCCCCTGTAATCCGGACAGCTTACGTTACTTGTCAGCAAATATAAAAACACGTCGACTACCGCGGACCCCGCAAACGAGCCCGCTTGGACTTCTCGGGTTTCGACAAATAACCAGCTCGAGGTGACCATGAGCTCACCAGGCGATGGGATAGTCCCGGTTTTAGAGAATGTAAAAATAAGTTTAAAAAAAATATTCCTCTTTAGGTGTCTTTAGTTACCATCT